ACATTTAGATTTAATTATTGTCTTGTCAAATAAACAAACATAAAAAATGCAATTGATTTTTTTCTCCTGTTTTTTAGCTGAAATTTGCAGCTGCCAGAGATCCCACCCAGCACATATAAAACATTTGATCCAGACTAACTTTCACCATGTTTTTTCACTCAACACACAATTACTCTCCTACATGTATCTACAGACGTCTAACTTACTCTCTATCATTCGAAACAAGTTTCTACACCTGCAACTRGTGGCACAAATCATGAAAAACTGACCTTGAAAACAAACGTCTCGTTGAAGACAGGGTTCAGTGTCTTCTTGTGAACTTTGGTGTCGAACTTCTTTTTCTTGTCAGGAAGGAGCAGGACTCTGACGTAAGGATCAGAGGTTCCGCCCGAGTCCATGGACATGAGGTCTGCAGCTTGGAGGATGCTGATTGTGAGCTGTGGACAGAAGAGCATCATCAATAAGACAGGAACAGGAAAATGTTTAATGATGATTAATACAATTTGTTTTTGTCTTCACATGTGAAAAATAAAAAATAAACATTTTAACAACCCTGTAAATAAATAAAAACCTCTCATTGCCACACAAGCAACTTATATTTTATTTGTATTTTTCAACAGTTGTCATTTAAAAGTAACACCAACAGACCTTAGTGTTCTCAAAGTCATAATCTATGGAGTATTGCAGCTTCCCCAGTTTTTCTTGTTCTTTTTCCTCCTCCTCCTTCTCCTCTTCTGTCATTCCGGTCTCCCCTTCATCATCATCATCGTCCTCCTGTTGTTTCTGTGGCGCACAAGTAAGAAAGCAAACTGAATTGCAGGTTGCCTAATTTCATATCACAGGGCGAGACTTGTAATACGTAACATCCATCATGCCACAAACACTGGAGCTCCAGGAGGTTTTTACATGGGAGTCGCATGTTTTGGTTGCTGCTTACCTGACAGGACCAGGCGGGTATTCCAGAAAACCAGTCATGTAAAAGTTACCTCTAAGTTCAGGGAAACATTACTACTTATTAATTTATATTTTCAGATCTTCCAAGGTGCCAGTTATGGAACTCTCTGTGCATTGCTGCCCAAATCAAATTCTGGAAGTGGTCATTCAACTAGATCTGTTACAAAAGGACAACTGATATTACCAACTTTTAAAAACTGTTACGGCCAGAGGTATTTCTTCTACACTCTAAAAAGAGTATTTGGGCTGTAGTTCACGTTGTGGACTTATTAACATTGATCTCAC